GTGTAGGATGTTTTAGGGTGTGTGTGTGCGTGTGTGTGTGTGCGCGTGTGCGTTTGCGTGTGCGTGTGCGTGTACGTGTGCGTGTGTGTGTGTGTGTATGTGTTTGTTTGTGTGTGTGTGTGTGTGTGTGTGTGGTGTGTGTGTGTGTGTGTGTGTGTGTGTGTGTGTGTGTGTGTGTGTGTGTATGTATGTGTTTGTTTTTTTTTTTGTGTGTTTGTGTGTGTTGTGTGTGTGTGTATGTGTGTGTGTGTGTGTTTGTGTGTGTGTGTGTGCGTGTGTTTGTGTGCGCGTTTGTTTTGACTGTCTCTGTTGCGCTTAGCATCTCCGCACCCCCTCTCGTCAGTCTCCCCCCTGCCCCCCCCCCCTCCCCAAAGCGCGTGTCACCAGCACCGCCTTCCCCGCGCGTGCATGTGCATCGCCGCGTGTTTTGCGAGGCGGGTGTTGGTGTGGGTCATAATCGTAGATTTCCTTGGCGTTTTACTTTGATGGTATTGATTAGGGCTGGCAGCGAGCTCGGCGAGGACCTGGTGGCAAGGCGCGCGCGCGCTCGGAGAGACAGTCATGGGGCCGTGCGGTCCGCGGCTGCTGGGGGTGGGGAAGGGGTTGTGTGGGGGGGCTGTTCTTTTGGCGTTGAGTTTTGTTTTTATTATTTATTTTAGCTTTTTTTATTTACTTTTATTTTTTTTTTACCCAGTCTCTCATTTCTTCTTTCTCTTCGGCTTTTTAAGGTTGGGAGGGCGGTTTTATTTTTCTTCTTTCCTTTCGTCATCATGTTTGTTTGATTTTTCTACTCCCATTCCACTTTCTCCTCTTTGTCCTCTTCAGCTTCCTCCTAGTCTTCCTCCTTGTCTCTTCGTCTCCTCCTCCTCCTCCTCCTTCTTTTCCGCCTCCTCCTCCTCCCCTTCTCGTTTTGTCCTCCTCCTCCTCCTCTTTCTCTTCCGCTTCCTTCTCGTCTTCCTCCTATGATTCTTCTTCATCTCTTGCTTTTCCTTTCTTTCCTTCTCCTCCTCTTCCTCTTCCATTTCCTCCTTGTCTTACAACTCCTCCTCCTCCCCCCTTTTTCTACTTCCTCCTCCTTCTCCCACTCCTCCTCCTCCTCCTCCTTCTCCTACTCCTCCTCCTCCTCCTCCTCCTCCTCCTCCTCCTCCTCCTTCTCCCCTTTTTTTTCCACTTCTCCTCATTTTCCTCCTTTCCCCCCTCCTCCTCCTCCTCCTCCTCCTCCTCCTCCTCCTCCTCCTCCTCCTCCTCCTCCTCCTCCTCCTCCTCCTCCTCCTCCTCCCCCACCCCTTCCCCCTCCTCCTTTCCCCCTTCTTACCCTCCCTCCTTACCCCCCTTTCCCTCCCCCCTCCCCTCCCCCTCTTTCCCTCTTTCCTCTCCATCCTATTTTCTTCCTCTCCCGCCCCTTCTTCTCCTAATAGAAATGCAGCGCATGCCAGGGATGGTGGATGGGGGGTGGGTGGGGGTGTTGTTTGTAAAAGTACTGAGGCATATGCAAGTTGTAAAGGAATATTGATTTTCTATAAAAGGTGAATAAACGGACACGACACATGTAGAC